TCATTTATTTCAGACATACTGGGTTTATATATCAATCAAACAGACCGCAACGCACCATAAAATAGGAAATAACATTTGTACACAATAAAGCCAAAAAGTGACTGTGAACGTGGGAGGCACTAGTCAATAAACTGAACATAGCTTAAGAACAGTAAATCGTACAATAATAAATTATAGGTCATAATAAAGCTTGTAATAAGAGGAATATAAATATACATAATCCAATTATTGAATAGTTATACCATAAAAATATATAGATAATATTAGTCAATTAATATGTTTCAGAAGTTACTCGTGATTTAATCTTCGCCCAGATATAACAAAGATATTCAGCGAAAAATCTAATAATTGGATTATGAACTTAAAAACTGATGAGTATGTGTTTTATTCAAACTTATTTTAAAGTTGTTGTGACTTTAAGTTGTGGTCGATTTTTACCCTGTGCTAACTGTTGTGTCCTTGACTGAAAAACTAGAGAGCAGCGTATTTATCGATTGATTCAATTACACATAAACACGTACGAACGTAATGGATGACCTAGAGTTACGATTGGTCCCGATTCCCTGTCTACCCCAGCCAGTTGAGTCCAGAACACAAATCATTGTATTTCAGACACACTCTATTTATATACTAACCAAACATACCACATCGTACCATAAAAATAGAAAACAACATTTTGTACCATATTCAACAAGTGGACAGATATCGACCAGTAGGAAATGTCCATTTAAAGTCCAAGGACACCATTGGACTTAACATGATAATTATTGGTCTATCCTTCGCATCCACAACAAAAGTAAATTCAGATTTTATAAGCAGATATGGATGGTTGTTAGTAGTGTGTGACCGGATTTCTGAATGGAGCTGCATCCCAGAGTTTCTGTTCATTCTGAATTCGCTCCCCGGAGTATATATCAAACTCTGAGATATTTGTACATCCGTCCGACAAGTCTCATAAAAGACAAAATATATTCCGGATGCTACTACTAGCTACCATCCAACTCTACTTGTGACTTAATTTCAGTAGAGAGGTAGTCCACTTTGGATGCACATATTCTAAAAGAAACATATCGATTTCAGTCTTGCACACCAACGGGAACTTTGAAACAATCAATAAAAAGGATTTAAGTTCAAGTTTATTTTCTAAAACAAGATAACATATTAATGAATTTTGAATAACCAATGATATTTAGACAAACGTACTAGGAGGATATTTGAAAACACGAAAACTTTAGTACAAAAAGGACTTTAAACAATTGCAAGTTGAATGACCTATTGCTTGAAATATCAATTTCATATTATTTAACAAACTAATGTTTCCAGTTCTTGAGAACGATAGTATGAATCGAATAAACCGCTGATATTTTTGGTGTTACAAATATAAAGAGCTAAAAAAAAATCCTACTCACCACCTTATCCACTCTATTTGAGGAAAGAAAATAACTGTTAAGAGTAAGTAAACACCTAATCTCCCATAGCACATACGTCTACCAGATACGGATTTATTGAATGTAACAAGGTATATGACATTATAACACACTAACCGGAGGCTTTCAGGTTTTATATTTAGTTTCAAAAACATTATTTTCAAGTTAAAAGACATTAGAGGTCTTAAAACTACACAGTCAGTTTATCGTTTTTGGTTTTACAGCTACCCAATAAAGTACGTTCATAAATGTCTACTCTTCAGAATGAGTGGCTGTAGACCTGAGGTTCATCACTCTAAAAGATCAACCAATGTAAATTTATTATTCTCATTCTGCACTAAGCTAGTAGATGTGTTAGTCTCGACTCAGTTTGAAGTAATATTTCTACCTAATTATTGTGTTAAATTCTTCTTTTTTTATCTTTTGGTCTAATCTCTTTGCTAATCTATTCTAAATGTTTCTGCACTAATTGTACTATACATTCAATACATTACCAACTGTACGTGTAAACTTTTAATAATAATTATTCAGTCAAAAGACCGAATTTATTATTTCATCCATAAAATAAAAGTTCATTGTGATCATAAACCGAGCAATGTTTGATTACCATTAAAAGCCTGAGAACAACGGATGACCTTTCCGTCCTAGTATGGAACCTCTCAGCCAATTTCTCGTGAGAGCGTTTAACATATAGACTATTGAACATGCATCTAACGGTGGTAATATCTATTTTCCAACAATCCGCGTTACTGTGCAACTATCTTCCTGGACCAGTGGAGTTCAACCGTGTCAGTTTAGAAGTAGCTACACACCAAAGACAATGGAATACGGTTGCACAATGTAGTGGAATGGTTGAAGTTAGACATTACCAACGTTGGAATCCCGTTTAGTGGTCTACAGGTTAGGTGCTAACTCGAGACTGGAGGTCCTTGGTGGTCTAATATTGGTCGATTCATGATGTTAATTAAAACTCGACAATCTTCACAACCCTATACTGAAAAAAAGTCGTTTATTGTGAAGATCATTTCTAGAAATTTGTTTTCATATGAATATTTTGAAAATATGATTTCTTTGTTAAATTGGAAGCATGTCACGAGCTGAAGTTGTCTTAAGATTCATCAGTACCGATCACTAAGCATCTTGTTAATATTGTCGACCTGGATCTTAAAATATTATGAACAGCAAGATTTTGAAAGTCAATTAAACAGGAGTTCATCATTTCATATTTCCAGTTACATTTACTCAAACTCGATGATGTTTGTCTCATTTAACCTGTCTTTTTACCAAAACTTTAGGACTACTTTTCCAAAAATATCTTGAAGCTTTCTATTTGAATGATGATAAAATCAAAGTGAAAATTTGATTAATTGATGATTGACGAATGAAAACTGTAAAAGTATATGTTTTCTTTATTTAAACTAAAATAAACAATAAACCAATTACCAAGGAAACAGATTATAAAAGAAAAAGGAATTTCAACGTTTCAAAACTTATGACAGTATTTTACTTTTAAATAAAGTTTTGCATCCCTTTATTTTAGTTTGCATAATTCAGTAAGCTGAGTAAAATGTTAAACAATTGAAGAGAATTTCATTGAAGAAAGAGAAGCCGAAATCATCTTATCAAAGATTACACAGTGATTACAGTTTATTGCCGAGAACTATAAATTCACTTGCAATATCATATAAAATAGTCAAAGTAAAATCATTTCACGTTTCAAATAATCAAGACGATAATAGCAATTATTCACTTTGAATTATCCTACTAGTATTTACTTTATATGCTTTAAGAAGACTAGCTATTCAAATCACTGATCAAATTTAGCATTTTTCTGTTCCCATTTTAAAGATATAAAACCAAGAACTTATTTACTTTATGGTTGATAATTTGTGTATTTTCACTTTCAGATATACACCATGAAAAATTCATTAAATATGTCCAATAGTAGAACAAAACGGCCGTTCTGTGATTCTAGATTTTCAATGAGGGTTTAATATCGATCGATTCATGATCTCAATCAAATATATTTTCTCTTTAATAATCTTTTTATACCTTTGTCAGTATTATTGGGTTATCTAAAACTATGGATATTGATTTTGATACGAACTACGCAAACACTTAGCATTCCAATTTTGTTTAATAATATATAGGATAATGATGATGAAAAAAATCACTATAATTTCAGTATACAAATCCAATTGTATCAGATGATTTTGTATATGTGTAACATTCAAAATTTTATTGCCTAATGAAGTAATAATTCTCTAATTTATTTAATTATATTAAGAAGCTATTGTGAATTAGTCTGTTTAAGAATTAAAAAGCTTACAAACTATTGAAATTTTTGTAAGAGTTAAAACTAATGCTAAGTGTGAATATTAGAAAATATGTCAAAGGATTTTAACTGAAAGTATCAACAAGAAACTACGTCTAACCTAAAGTTTACGGCGTAATCAGTCATGGTTGATAAGGCGACTTCAACGTCATTTTGCAAACATCAAACTAACTTGTTTCAATCACCTTGTCTTTAGAATACTTTAAATGGCTGAAAAGACAGTTACAAATGCGGGAACTAAACTTTTGTATATGCTTCGGAATTATTTAAATCAGCATGATTTTTAACCGCAATTTTTGTTAGGGTTAGTATTAGGGGCAGGATTCAATTTAGGGCAGGCATGCTATAGTCATGATGTTTAACTTTTAGGTTTAAGATGTTAGAACCAAGGTGGTACGTTTAGGATCTATGGCATATGTAAACTGAATCCTAACCCTAAATCTTAAGGCTGATACTAAAGTCTAACGCCAAAGAACTTACAGTTAAAATAGTTTCTCAATCAATTGCAATTAATATATTGTTAATAAACCATTTTGTCTTTAGTTAAAAATTATTCATCCATACATACTATTTTCTTATTGATTAAAACAACTCAATACCTTAAGGTCGTTCAACAACATACTTCAGGTTAATCAAATTAAACTAAGACGTATGGTCAATGAATTTAAGGAACTATTATATCACTGGACTGGAACATCTTTACAGTTCTTTTAGTAGTCATTTATTTTCCTGACTTCACAAATTTAAACTACTCATCATCGTTAGTGACCAAAGGTCTTCCAGAGATTTATCTTAAAATTATAGATGTAAACATTAATTTATTAATAGTTTTCAAAATCGTTAGACTTTCATCTACTTTAATCGATACTGAACTAATTATTATGCTCTAGACAAATAGAAAACTGAGAATTTTCTTTTTTCTTAAGTGAATATTGAAAACAAATAATTTATATTTGTATATGGTTCTGTTAAACTTCTAATAGGACAAACCGCGCGTCCTGGATTCCACTGTTAGCCACTATCCATCTTTGCTTAAAAAGCTTGTGACTTAAGGCTATATAGAGGCATCCGCACAGGATGCACATATACCAACACGAAACTGATCAATTTCAATCCTAAATAACGATGGGAAGATACAAGTAAAACAACACCAAGTGATTCTAATACAATATTTTATAAAGATTATAATTTATAATAATATAAACCAAAAATTCAAATAACAATAATAATAAACTCACTTTATATTTCTGATTTCTTATTAGTTGCCTACCATAAACTAAAATTTCAGGTAATGAATTAGTATTTAGTTTCTCTGAATGTATTAATTTATCATTTTGTATTTGATGAGTTTGATTAGTAACACTATTTGACTTATTAAAAGTTTTTCTTTTAAATCGTTTCTTTATTTCTGTTGTTGGCATATTTAATATAATTTCAACATATGAACCAACAAATGCTTCTTGACTATATTCAGCTGCAATAAATATATTTGGATTCCAAGATTGTGATGCATCATGAAGCTGAAATTAAAAAGAATCCAATAAAAATTAGTTAAAACTTGTGTGAATATTTAAATAAGTAAAATGTCTTTTGAAAAAGAAAAAAAAAGAAAGAATAGAATATTCATATGTAGTTAAGATCATACTGGAAACTAATTTAAAGGTTTGTAAATTGTGTATAGTGATTAGTGAGGTGAGGAAAATTCAAATTTATATAATAAAAGGCAAAAGTAACTTTTTTTCTCTAATATAAATGAAGATTAAAGTAATAAATACTTTTTATTCTTTTTATTTTCGATATTCATTTGTGAAACTCAAGATGAAACCAGTTATCACCTTACATTCAGTCCACACTAAGATACCAAATTTCGCTAGATATGATGTGAATGATTGATTCCTTTTGCATAAAAGTTACATAGAATTATCGAACATTTTCAATATTATCAGAAGGGGTTTTCTGGATAGTACAGTAATTTCAATGGTTGAGATCATGAGTCACTTGAAGCTAGATTAACATGGAACACCGTCTGATATTAATGACTATTGACTGGCTTCAAGAGGTATATCCTGGAGTTCTAGTGAGAAGTAGTGAACAGTGGAGTTCAATCAGGACTGTTGTGAGATAGTATCTCACTGATGACAATGGTGGATGTGTCATTCAATTTCGTGGATTAGTTGAAGTTAGACATTAACACCATTGGATGCCGGCTCAGTGGTCTAGTGGTTAAGTGCTCACGCGCGAAACCAGTAGGTCCTGGGTTCAAATCTCGCAAGTGGCGAGGTCGTGGATGCGCACTGCTGAGGAGTTTCACAATAGGACGAAACGGCCGTCCAGTGCTTACAGATTTTCCATGGTGGTCTAGCTTCAACTGACTCATGATCTCAACCATTGACATTTTCATTATTGTTATATTAAACGGGAAATAAATATTACCCATAGTAATGGATAATATTCGTCGCTTCGTAGCATGAATTGAATGAAACTAAAAATATAAACCAAATAATCTAAACGTGAAATGAACTCAGTTTGACTGTAAGTTTCTATGTTTAATCTCATAAGCTATAATGGGTTCGCACTATTAAGAAGTTCCATAATATACCAATGAGTAGTCATCCAGTAATGGATGACTTTTTATTGTTACCCAAAGGAGTTCCTTTAATGATGTTAACTGTCTTGTTACTTTATAACTCAGTACAGTATATAGATGGACACTTATTTTCAAAACACTGAAAAAGAAGAGCTTCTTTGTTCTTTACTCATTGATCGAATGTCACATATTTAATATACTCTAAATTGTTTGAGAAGAATGAAAAACATAAAGAAATTAAATAATTTACGTTTTCAGTGAAGAGTACATTACTTTCAGAAGTTTCCTTATTTAATCACTTCCTTTAATATTATATATAACTTTCTTTTCTGCCAAAGAGTTTAGTAAATTCCGTTTAATAAAAACAAGCACAATATATATACTACTGGTTTATTTTATGATATGTTCTAGAAGGTAACAAGATAATATTTGTTTCTAATGACCAAAAACCTATTATCTATATTTTTATTAGATTCAACTGATTAGCATTCGTGTGTGGTCATATTAGTTAGAAAAGGATTAAGGATTTAAGTTGACAAATTGTTTGTATTTTAATCAGATGAACGAATTTCTAGTCGTAAGCCCCCAAGTGAACACTTTAAATTATCTACTCACTAATTTTTCTGTAATTAACAACTAAGCTATTTCTCACTGAAAGTGTTCAGTGGACAAACTCATCTTTAAATGACTGATGGTTAAATTAAAGATTACATGTAGTTTTATGAAATTATTCAATAATGAAACAATATTTTTTAAAACGTGAATCATGTTATTCTAAAATTCTAATTAGACCAAACTTTATTTAGAACAAAATGAATCATCTAAGGTTTTACTGTGTATAGGTATTTCAGTTATGATATTTATTTGTATAATCTTTCCTTATCCTTCATCATGTCTATTAATGAAATTTTAAATGAAAAACTGGAATTAACATAGACCATAAAAACTGATTATTTTTAAATCAATGTTAATTAGCAAAGATGAATGCTGGCTAGCTGTGGAACACAGGACCTGTGTTTCGTTTTATCTGAGACTTAACACCTGGGTGTATCTGCATCCTAGAGTTGGTGTTCACTTCGAGACTCGAACCCAGTACCGCCCGCTTCAAACGCCATCACGTTATCCACTTAGCTACTTAATCCTGATAACCACTTGCTTGTCCAATGTGGTGAAGTTCAAATTCACTTGTCATTGTTTACTTGAATCTTCCCACTAATGTTTAGAATGACACTTGATCAGTCTTTTATTAACATAAATACATCTCTGAAGCCATATTAAGGTGATTCACACAGGATACACATATGTCAATAATAAACTGATCAATTTCATTCTTAAACATCAATGAAAACATCCAAATAAATAATACCATGTGAATTCATGTTTATTGTTTAAATTAAAGTGCATCACGAATAACATCATATAAACAAAATAAATGTCACAATAATTATTACAATATTTATTATAATAAAAAAAAGTAATATGAATGACGTAATCAAATTTTGATATAAAGTAACCAACAGATATCTATTCAGGTTTCATTTGATATTGATTTTCTTTTTTACAAGAAAATATTTTGGACAAATCAGATTTTTCTAGAAAAGTAATTAGTTACCTTAGTAAAACAAAAATAGATTATTGTTTTGTATAATGAAAAAAATATCTTGAAGCTTGTAAAGTGTATTTCTCCGTAAAAATGTTGGTTTACTGATTTACAGTTAATATTTTACACGTGTACTTATTTGGAATTATTTTTTTCTGGTTAGCATTTTTTATTTAGCGAGTTAGTTTTCTACGGAATGGGGTTACGTAACCCTATGCCTAATCGTCCTCTTTTACGCGTGTGCTAGCTTCAGAGGAGCATCAAGCGGAGTATTTATCTTTTACTTATTAGTCATTTATATTTACTTCATTTAGTTAGAATGAAAATTTTAGCGGATGTGTAGTGTCAGTTATTATGCCAAGCCCATATACCTATTCATTTTACTTGAGCCATATTTTGACCTTGTCAATTATTCGCTTGTCAGTCTTGATTGTTTTTATATGAGCGTATATGTGTGTACACTTCATGTCCAATGACTCATCACATGTCTGTGGTTTATTTTGTCTGCCTATAAATATTGAGTAATGCCTGGCTTGAAATGGAGTTGGCTTCCCAGCCATCTTCCCTGCGCGTCATTTTGCTCTGTTCTATTACATTCGCTTTACATACAAGATATATGTATTCAAATGCCATTCTCGTTAATTGACTTATCTAAATTCCGTTATTGACTAACGTGATTTAAGTCGACGATGATATACGAGAAAAGGCGATAATAATCATTCGTACAATCTAATTGGAGTCAGATCCACGGGCCACTAAAGATAAATTTATTTAGAAAATCAAAAAATACCGGCTGACTATTTGATTCAATGTATGGGATAGTGAGTATTGGATTAAATGCAAAGCGTTTAATTGTCAAATTGAGATAAATTTTAAATCACAAAGCACGAATTCAATGATTCATGTTTAAGTCAAGTTCGTCAGTCAATACTTAGTACTTGAACCTTGTGTATATGTTGAGACTTCAAAAATATCCTCGTTGAAATACTCTGGTTCTGAAACTTTAAAATCATAATCAAATAATATATATATAGTAAAGAATAGACAAGCTTATCGATTTATTACAAGTGGAAATTTTACGCTTTCCTAAGTTAGTCTTATTGTAATTGCAAACACTTTATCAGTTAATGTATCAATTTTCGTACCAGATATATGTTCCATATAACAATTGATTTAGTTCTGTTTAATTAGTGATTCGATTATATTCAGTTACTTTTATATTTCATTTTCAAAGCTTCTTTTTATAGAAAAACAGATGCCTATCATACTAACAGATAATACAATAATATACAGTGCAATCACTTCTTAAGATAATTGGAACTTGATTTCTGTTTAGAATAATGATCATTGAAGTACTTGAAGATAATTCTCCAATCAAGTGAAAACAGATCGTTCTAGGTTTTACTCAGACTATGTAACTAGATCAAATGAAAAATCACAAAAAAAATTTTTATTATACCCAAAATAGTATCAAATTGAAATTGTTTTTTGGTACAACTAACTTTTTGTGGCCAATTAAACTCTTTTGATTTCGGAGTTAAATTTAATGAATCTGTTGTAAGAACTTTACATAAAATCAAATAGTATCTTCTTATACGACCAAGACTTTCAGAGACACGAAATACTCGCATAATTATTTTTCCTGTCTCTGGTTGTACTGTAACTGGTATCGGTCGAGGAACTAATAGTGGAGCTAAATATTAACAAAAAAATAAATCAAAACAAATATTACAAAATTTAAAGTGGTTTAGAGATTGAAATAAATCAAAAGAGCATTATGCAGTGAATATACTGTATTTAACCATTTTATTAGATTGTTTATTTTCAGTGATACCGTAATCATCTTCTAGTATGATTTGTTACTATAATATTGTATGTTCGAATGATTTCATAACAAAGGTAACTATGAAATGAAGGCATGTACTCTAGTGTGTTTGTCAAATGTTTATTTTTAGGTAAAAATTCGAGTATGAATTCGGAATTCTTGATACTTATTACACTAGTTTTAATTACAGATATAAACTTCGAAGTATTTAGGAGTTTTAAATATATTGCTTATGTCAACCCAATCAATCATAATAATCTATGTACATTGTATGTTTAAACATATAACTTTTTTATTCCAGACTTAATAAGTGTAACTTTGTAACAATAATTGATGAACAAACAACTGATGTACAAATCGAAACTCAATGAACATGACTTTGTTAATTTAAGCTAACCAATCACCTTATCATATAGTATCATCTGAGTATGATGAAAGCACTTAACTCCTCATTTGTATTGAATAGACAATATGCCGTTGTTTCCAGTCAGACAAATCTATGAAATATCTTTTAACTAAAATCAAACACGTGGCTTAAATTCATCTTTCGTGCAAGAAGCCAGGAGCAGCCTGAATAACAGCTTTGGGGTAATATTTCAAACTATGAAACTGAGTAATAGCCGTTTGAACAAAACAAAGAGCGTTATTCTCTTCAATACTGTTGAATAATACCAACTAGTATGAGAACTAGATCCAGAATGATTACTATTTAAAGCTTCCCTCATTTTGATGTACATTAATATTATTGGCTTTATTCAATATTAGATTTTTGGCACAATATAGAATTCTCAGCACAGCGAGTTTCCGTTTCTTATTTCTTGATCAATCCTGATGATAAACATTAAGTGATCGTCAGTTAAATGTTAGTAGTTCAGAAGTCGACATCAGAATAATATCCATTTTTTCAATGCATATTGCCAACCATCACGATGTTTCCGATTGTAAATTTCTGTGACTTGTAGAGCGAAAGGTTGTAAACTTTTCACAAACGCACTTGAATAGGTTATGTAATTAATTGACACAATGACGTGTTACAACAAACAAGGAAACAGAGAACTTTTTGAAATATCTAGATGGTAGGAACAAGTAGCCAGGTTATGGTTTTATCACAATAAAAAGTATCTACAGTGGACAGCACCTTTACGTAGATATAGTCAGATGCTTCTGATACTAAGATAAAGCACAATAAATAATAAAGAAAATCACTTACGAAGCATTTGTGTTCGACAACTCGTACGTCCTGTTGGAGTTGCACTGTCTATGGTCGCACTTTGATCATGTTGTGAATAAATAGGCTTAATTTGTACATCATAAACCGTATTTGCTTCCAGTTCATCGATAACTAATTCATACTGAGGATAATCTGAGGTGGATGACATGTACCCACCATTTGTGTTAATACTGGAGCTAGAAGATTGATCTAGCATTGACGTTGTAACTTCCACTGAACGTGGTTCATACAGGATTCGATGCGGATGACTTCGTTCATCAGCATATGTTTTAGATCCAAGTAGCTGAATCTGCAATCAGGTAGAAAATAGTGTTAGGGCTATTCACTTATAAGTTTGAATTTCGTTAATTTCATAAACAAAGTTACAAGTGTCTTATTAAATCTACGTTATCATCTGTAAGATAATATTTTCTTCGATAGAAATGTTTTAAACTTATCATCAATTGATCATAGCTGTTTCTATCAAGAACTCACTATCAGGTAAAAACATTACACAAAATATGTCAAACCAAATTACTTAGTTGTTGTTCAAGTAACTTACTTCAAATTGGTAAAGACCTTCAAGTTGACGAGGACGTCTCCATGAAATTTTAAGACTTGCCTCACCAGGTTTAGCTGTCTCTAAAGTTTGAACCCATGTACATGATAAATGACTGATTCGTTTTAAATCTTCCGGTCCAGAATTGGCTAAGTTATTAATATCCTTATTAGCTCCATTAATTTCATGTGGATTGTATATCCCAACATGAATAGGTTCACTTAATCTTCCATGCCTCCGATCAGCTCCTCTTGATTTTATTCTTATAACATAATCCTTTTGTGGATCTAATAAGTCAAGTGTGGCCATTGTAACCGGACCAACATCCAAAATTTGCCATGTATTCAAATCCTGTGTATTTTCGTTTGTTGAATAAAATATACGAAATCCAGTTATTGGTATTTGGGGTTTCGTGATAGGCCCAACAGGCATTGTATTCCATGTAACTTTTATTTGTCTTGGATTTATACGTAAACCATTAATTTGTGATGGAGGTTCTGGTACTATTTAAAGTAACAACACATTAAACATATTTTTGTTTGAATTCAAATGACAATGTTAATTAACTCAGAAGATACTAAATAAATAAATTAAGAAAAATAGACCGAGAATCACTGCTGCAGCTCAGAGAGCTGGTTCTACACTTTGAGACGACTCAATAAAACTTTCCGAAAATTGCATAAAGTATTCGTAAAAACTATTAATTGAAATAGGTTATGTTAGCTGTTTAGTAAAGTAGAAACACTCGACTTTATATCATTTCGTAATGAGTGCTAACCTCACCCTCATCTTTAATTTAGACCACTACCTAGTTTGATTTATTTTTGGCGTTTACCTAGTGGTAGCTGTGTTGTTGTTTCTAGTCGTTTGTAAATAATCTAGTTACCTTAATTCCCTATAATCCTAAATCATTTACAAATTAGAATTTCATTTAAAATTTTAATTTCGTCTTCTCTGCTATTCATGCACATCATAGAAGTAATACACTTAAGAGTTACATCAAATATTGTGTTTCTGAAGACGCCTTTAATAATAAATGCAAAAATAAGGAAAATGTACTTGTTCATAGTTTTGACAACTAACACTATTGTGCGATTGATAATGATTCTTTTAGTTCTTTAAAATAATCATGATTCAACCAAGTTTCATCTATTCTAAACAAAATCAGTGTCTGTTTAATATGAAACTACTTTTTAATAAAATGATAGAAGTAATTTATAAACCTAAACATTCGGAATAACATAATTTCATTATCCACTAACAAATACGTCACTCAATCAAAGGAAAAAACATCAAACCTTTTTCAACAGTTCCTAGCTATCATCATATGTTTGGCTTGGAATTTTTAGTTTATCTGTTATTTATTTATATTAATGTAGGAATCAGATATAGTTTATCTACTGAACAGCTTAAATAAATATTTATTCTTGTTTTGCAATGTGTTACCATTCAGGTATACATATAAGTACGAATGAAATATATATATATATATATATATATATATATATATATATATATATATATATATATATATATATATAAATCAAAATGAGATTGTAAATAAAAATGAAATATTTACATTCAGCTGTAGTACGAATTGTACTAGCTGCTGACCATGGTCCTGGTCCATTTTTAGTTAATGCTCTTACTAAAACAGTATAGAATGTACTCTCTTTAAGATTTTCAATTTGTAATAATGGTTCTTGTGTTGTTGTGATAATTTCAGTTTCATTTGGTGCACTTGGTTGAAAATATTTAACCTAATTTATATGAAATTTGAAAGAAAGAAAAAAGTTAATTATTAGTGTTATTGTTACATTATGAACTTATCATCAATTCCTTGACAATTTAATTTTTAAAAAGTTACTAATTTTATTCTATATTATTACCAATATACTTTTGTATTAAAAGAGTAATTATATTTAGCCAGTATCCGTGTACTGGATCTGTATGATGACTTATTTTAATCTATTATGGATAATGCAAATAGATTTTCATGAGCCCTCAAATGAACTAGTACGGCCGAGAGTTGGGAGATTTAGCTCTCCCACTCGAAATGCTCTCATATGGCCACGTGTATACAGCCACTGTCAAGGAAGTCCTGCTTATTGCTTTCTCTAGGTGGTGTTGTTTACGAAATCGAGAGGACAAAAAGCGAATGTCCAGCGCTTTAACCGGGTTGATGGATATCGAGGATCCACCTAAAAGAGTCGGAAAACCATGATTCTAAACCAATTGTACACATTGGCTACAGGATACTGAGGGAACAAATGGTGTATGAACCAATCGTTGGTAACCGGCTACATGGGATTGCATACCCTTACGTTACTCCACTGCCTTGCGAATCAGACCTTTAGGTCGCAGGCTCGGAATGTGGCCCCATAAGAAAAACACCTGTTTTGGTTTGGGCACCCTGTGCCCCCATGTACCAATCTTTATGTATCCAAATAAATAAATAATTTACACTTAATTGTATCATGTCAATACTAAGTGTTTTTAGTTTTTAAAACGTTTTATAGTAGTAATAACTTTAATTATTATCATAGAATGGCTGTTCAAGTACTATGGAGTCTAATAATTTGTTTAGTATAAGTCATTATCCGAGATACAGTGTAATACATTTATTAAACTAAGCAATGTTTTCAATATTGATCATATGTTTCATCCATTATATGATATGAGTTCAAATAAAATATTCGTAAGTAATTTAAGATTTACAAAATTCTGTTTGATGCAAGACGTCATCTACAACATTCTTAGGTAAAATCACTTTCCGACTTATTTTACAAGTAAAGGACTTGTAGTGGTCGGTATTCAATATAATCCTTAAACTTCGAATACAGTTCGTCTCGATTACCGTCCTATATAACGTCCCAACAGTATATTAATCAGAAGGCGAATACGAAGTGCTGATTATGTTTATTATGGGACCAAAAACACAGGTATCCAAAATTACAGATGCGTTAAACAAGCATAGAAGAGTTGTGCCGAAAGGCAAGCAAGCGAGCGAGAGAGTCAGCGAACATGAATACGAGTACGCGAGTACAATTAAGCGAGCGAGACCGAGTGAAAGCGCGAGAGCAATGAATATGTATAACATGGACATAGTGAAACGAATGAGTCATAGAATCAAATAAGTGGTTAGTAGTGAGACTAGCATAGTGAATAAATGAGAGGGCCGTAAGCAATATTCAATCATACATGTTCATACATTCCCAGCAATAATAAAGATTCAATGATATAGATAAGTTGTTGTTAGGATGACTCAGTTCGTTAATAAGTTAATGAAATGACTTGATTGAATTAATTGTGAACATACTCAATTGCACGTGATCCGTTATAGACTTTTTAAGTGAATTCCAGATAAAAATCCTAGAATCCACAAAAATCAGGTAGGTAGTGCATAAAACTGTAGTTCCATTTTAAAGGTTTATGAAGAAATATTTAACTCATATATAATTACCTGGTAGCTAGTAATTTCTTCAGTCCATTTTTGTCTTGAAGGTGGAGTCCATACAACTTCTATAGCAGTTGCCGAAAGTCCTTTAACACGTACATGTAGTGAATAACTTCCAGGTACTGAATTAGTTTATATTAGAAAAAAATGTAAAGAATAAAATTAGGAATTGATTCTTTACTCAAAAACAACACTGTAAGACTAAGTTTCTACATATTTGTGTTAGATTATTTACTGTAGATTTTGTAAACTGAATATTTCATGTTTAACAACATCTATCAAATAAACAAACCAAAATATGAAGAAATTGTAAGAAGTTATGCTTGATTAACATAATAAGATGTCTTAGCTGCAAATAGATTCTGAAAATAGTGAAACTATCAGTAACATAAACATATTTCAATAGTTGAATTTATGAATCAATTGGAGCTAGACCACCATGGAAAACCTGGAAACACTGGACTGCCGTTTTGTCCTAGTATAAGACTCCTCAGCAGTGCTGATCCACGATCCCGACTCGCGAGATTCAAACTTCATGGATTGGTTAAAGTAAGATATTAACACCATTTTATGCCCGCTCAGTGGTTAAGCGTTCTTGAACGATACCGGTAGGCTTTGGGTTCGAATCTCACGAGGCGGGATCGTGGATCTGAACTGCTGAGGAGTCCCATACTGGGACAAAACGGCCGTCCAGTACTTCCAGGTTTTCCATCATGTTCTAGCTTCAATTGAATCATGAATTCAACTATCAAATTACTATAATATCCACAAAAATCCCTCTCTTATTATAATAAACATGTTTCATGCAATATTATGCAATACAGTTTTCATAGTTTGTAATAATTGCGAAGGAATATCACAAATTATATTTCATTCTACTTGATATGTGAAATTTATGACTTTATTAAATTGCACTTTATAATTCATGAAGCTTTCAATAAAAAAAAAATCAAATGGTTTCTACAAATGCTATCATTTTATGTGGTATTGTTTTAATTTAGCCAACTCATTTAGATTTATTTAACTAAAAGATTCTATTTACCCATAGTTGATCAAGACACTGATTCTGATACTAGATCTGTTATCTTATTATGTTAAGTCCTTTGAAGTTCACATCAAGACATTTTTTACTTAAGTTCATCGATAGGCTAAACTTTTAATTCTAATGAAACTTAATGAAAGAAATAAGAAATTTTTATTTCACATGAGATATAACACTCAATTGACATAAATTTTAATAAATCTCAATAAACTATGCCATGGAGTATAAGAGCAGTGATTGGTGAAAATAACAGATGCAAAGTGAACTGATTTTAAAGTGTATATTTATTCCTTTAATACACTTATGATACATAATTCTAATGGTTAAGATCATCAGTCAGTTGAAGCTAGACCACCATGGAAAATCTGGAAGCACTGGACGACCGTTCCGTCCTATTGTGGGACTCCCCAGCAGCGAGAATCCACGACCTCGCTCCCTGCAGGATTCGAACCCAGGACCTGGTGGTTTGGCGCGCGAGCACTTAACGACTAGACCACTGAACCGGCATCCAACGGTGTTAATGTCTAACTTCAACTTATCCACGAAATTGGGCGTTACATTCACCATTATCTTCAGTGAGTTACTATCTCACAACAGACCTGGTTGAACTCCACTGTTTTAATATATAGTACCGAACGTTATAAATTGTAATTACAATAGTTTTCCTGACTAGATTAAATGGAAGGCAGATATGTTCAATTGATTGACATCAGGTGAAATAAAATCTACTTTAGTGATGCATCTAAAAGATTTAAGTTATCTGCGGTATTTTAGAAAGTTATTTGCGTAGGTTACCGAGAATTTCCAAGACTCATGTCAATAACTGTTTCGTTCTATTTAATGACTGTTTATCAAAGCACACAGAGTTTATTCGAAATGACGTCAGAAGAAACACCAGATTTCAAAACTGTCTTCGAGAATAGTAAATTATCACTCCTGACAAAGAACTTTAAACTGCTAGGTCGAAATATAATAAATCAATTTTTTCGTTTGCTTATTTTATACATGATTAAGTCCTACCAGGCATGACCACTCCCTAAAACTTTGTGGAATGTATTTTTAAACTTTCTAGTAAGAGAACATATGATCACGATTTAGTTGACAGTTTTATTAATATCAGTCCAATTTTCAGATACATTTCTCCACAATGACCGTAAGTGTGTACATTAAAGGAATTCCAAAATGGGACAAAGGAACTGTCCAATGCTTCTTGGATTCTATTTTTTTTTCAAACTTCAGTCAGTCTGTGATACAACTTATCCGTAAATTCATTATTTGACATGTTTGTCAAAATATGCTTATTTCATTTAGTAATAAATCAGATTCATTTTAATATTGTCCTAATTTCTGATGGACAATAGAACTAACGACAATTATGTTTCAATACTAATTACATCCGGTTATTAAAAAAAACTTATTAAGAACAATTTAAGCAATACTCCTCCATAAATTTACATTGGTTTACTGAAAAATATAAAATGTATTAGAACTATGTGATATCGTTTAAAGATCCTCATCATATTAAAAGACTAATATTTGAACGAAGAATATTCTTTTCGACAAATTTTCTTCAGATTCTACAGTTATATATCCAAATTAATAATCTGAAAAATGACCAGATTAAGGGTAAAGTGAATCGTTTAAACCATGTGAATTTAGGATTGTCGAACAAAATACAATAAAATTGTTAATATTGATATGACATATAGAATGTTAACTTCAATCTGCATATGTGCTAGGTGAAATTTGAGATCCATGATCAGAATAAATATGGGTCAAATCAGGTAAGAGAAATAATGATACAATTATCATTCGGTCAAATGTTTAGTGGAAGAGTAAATTGTGTGAAAAATTAGTCAGACGTAATAAGGAGGAATGAATGTGAAGTGGATGAATCATGTATATGGGAGATTAATAATGATGTTTAACCAATAGTAATAATAATAATAATACAAAGAATACAATAAATATAGATAACGGAGCATATTACATTTGACTACGAACGTTCGTAAGTACGATAGTCGAATTAGGTCATTCAATAGTTAAGATTACTATTGATTAATTGGTCTTGAGATTGGCCTGGGGAGGAGAACTGGTTGAAGATATTTCTTCTGAACGCATAGCTCCGGTTTTGTCATCCGGATTTACATTACCTTTAACCTGGTCATTTTTCAGATTAATAATTTGGATATATAATTGTACAACCTGAAGAGAATTTATCGTAAAGAGTATTCTTCGTTCAAGTATTAGTCATTTACTGTGATGTATTAGTGTAATATATTTCTAAAAGTCCTGATCGTACATCATATTGCAATGTTTAAGTGCAAAATGAACATTCAAACCAAACAAATGGGGGAAATACACTTAAATATTGTAAGACTATTAAGGATCTTGTAACAAATTCTGAGATTAGAAATTGTAACCATCAATTTTATAAAAGGTTTTTTACTTGTTTACATTAAATCTGTGTTTAACTATCGGGTGAGAGATATCTATTTTCAGAAAATCACGTTTCGTCTAGACAGTTGTGTAACAAAATAAATAATCGATACGAAAACAGAATGTAATCAAGCGAAATCTCATTTCTTATGGCCTTATTTAAAGATAACATTCATAAACAAATTTATGTACAAGAATTTCAATCATAGATTAATTAATGTCAAGCACTTTGTGTACAATATTTTGAAAGTTCATGCTTTAGGAATATAAAAATAAAGAACTTAGATGTATTAACAATACTCTGCACACATATGATAATGTAGCATCTTCTAAAATATAAAGCTGTTAAACTCAATCTATTACTAAAGTTATGTACACTGTTGCGTAATATTAGTTGACCATGTTTGTCTTCATAATATCAACTCATTGTCAATGTATAGATCGATTCGGTTTAGAATTAATATATGGTAACTAAAGACAATAATAATTTATTCAGATTATTGTCGATTTAGTGTTTTCTAAATATGTAACGATAGTTCCACAACTCATCAGTGAAGTATATTTTAATTCCGGACTCAGTTCATTAGATTTCATTATCAAAAGTTTGACTGTCTAAATGAATTTGAAAAAAAATAAGTGAATCTAATTTTAAAGATCTGAGTGAAGAATGGGAAAAATTTATCAGATGTTTAATAAAATAACGCTCAAAGAAATATGCTAGCAATAAATATCACTGAAGCTGTCACTTATGTGCTTCTTCCAGGTTCAACACATGGCATTAACAAAGAAAAACGAAACCGTCAAGATGAACGTCAGAATAGTAAAAGTAGTAGTTGTAGTATCACTGATAGTAAAACAACATACGGCATAAAATAAGTTTTAACCTCAATATCTAAGACGAAGCAAGTATTGTATGCATCTCTACCAACGTGATAGATTATGAACCATATAACTAGCGTTCCTAATCAATGGTCACAGTGATTTTACATACATTAACCAGACAGCCTGTACTTCTTAACAGGGCTTAGTTTAAAAGTTAGTGACATCATAGATAAATGCCATGTAATGATTTGACCCACTATGTCTTTTCGTGTAAATTATTCCTACATCATCTATGGTCTGTAGGAATGCATCGAAAAAAAAGTAAAGGGAAGTAAATAACAGATCTCTTCTTTAATTCAACAAAAATATGCACTAAACGGATAATTTAAATTTTATCTTAATTACTTTTAACATTGTTTACCAAAGGATTAACATTATACTGACGTATTACGTATAAAAGTTCAATTTTATAGGAAAGTAAAGATCTATAAACAAGTGTAAGAGATGTGAGATATCAAAGAGTGTTAGGTCCCGATAAACATAATGAGTGGTAACTTTGTGATCCTTTTATGGACCAATACTAAACATATATTTTTAATCGTATAATTGTTAAATAACTAAACTATTCATATTCATGTTCTTCTTATTATAAGCTTTATTTTGACCTATGAACCATTATTATACGTTTTACAATTCTTGAATTATGCCCTATCTATTAGTCACTGCCTCCCACATTCACAGCCACATTTGGCCAAATTTTGTACAAATGTTATTTTCTATTTTATGCTACGTTGTGGTCTGTTTGATTGGTATATAAACTCAGTATGTTTGGAATATAAGGATTCATATTGTAGGGGCTAAGACTGGTGTTCTGGACTTAACTGACTGGGCTAGGCGGGAAGCAGAGCCAATCAGGACTCTAGGCTGCTCGCACGTGTTTTACGCGTCCTTGGTCCGATCAGTAATTCGCTGCTTCTAATTGGCGGCTTTGGGCTATAACAAAGAAGAAAGTAATTGTAAAATCTCAGCGAAATAATTTGAAGTAAACCCAACGTTTCACCTGGCAATCTGGTTCAAGCTTTCTGAAATTCTTTCGCAGAGATTTTACATATACAGTCTCCCTTTTTAATAGTAGAATATAGTCTGATAAACTATCCACATGATATTTGTAAAGCTTAAAAAAGAATAAACCAATGATGCTAATTTTTTTGTAAAATATAATCTGATAAACAGTATGATATATCAGTAATATGCTTTACAGTGAGACATGCCTTTATATTTGATGAAACTGACAGTGATTAGTAAAGAAATTAGTACAGTAACAGCGGTAGGAAATTGTTATGAAAGAAAATATGATGTTTTGTAGTAATACTTGAAATAAATTGTATGATACTATTAAAACTATTTATCAATAATACAATCTTCTTAGTTTAATAACAATAAGAATAAAGAAGAAAATAAAACAATCTTACCATCTTCAGGTGTACTAATATTTAATTGAGCTGGTAGACCAAGATCAACTCCATTGTAGGCAGCCACTTCAAATTGATAAGTACGTCCAAATTCTGAATATTTATAGAATAAATAAAGTGAATTGAATAATATTTAAAGTAAAAGAAATGAAATGAAATTTTTCTTTAAAAAAATGTTAAAAGATATTTGTTCTCTAAGCTCGATGGTTTGGTCGTGGAGCTTTCATTGTTCTTCTGAACGATATCGTGAGTACAAATTTCAGGTAGATATTTATTGTTTTTAAATCTAATATAATCAAAACTAAATTATAAGCTATTAATACATTCATAACATTCATACTCCATATATCATGTTAGAAATATACTGACTTATTAGAGATTCATCTTGTTAACAAAAGACTTATGTTTTCTTTTTTTTTTAAATAAGATCTAAGTATCCATAATTAACTAACAATCATTTTTTACATTACGCTTACTGGCTAAAAAGTCAATTGACATATGGAATTATATTGAAGTGTTTTGTTCTCTTTGTCATTACTAGAAAAAAATATATAAAAATAACGCACAAATTGTGTGCATTATTACATATGCCTCCTTATCCAAGAGTGAAATTACATTTGTATCAGGTTAAAACTAGTACCGAAATCTTTTACGTTCATTATAGCGAAAGAAGATAAGTTATTTAGTTTCACGTTCAAAATATAGATTAATTATATAAATTTGGGTTAAAATGTCAACCAGAAGTATATTTCTAGTTTAAACTGCTATCGAAAGGAAAGTTACAAACATTGTCTTATGATGTTGAAGAACTTATTGCCAGCAATACATAATATAAACATAATGTTTGTAAATAATGTCTAAGTACTATCAAAACTCAGAAATATAAAGTAGTAATTGCATGTAGAAACACACTAACTGAGGAAAGCGCACAGAGATTTAAGAATATTGATTATGTAAGGAAAAGAAGAAAAGTACATAACATAACTACCAAGTTTTTGATAGAGTATTGTTCTCTAAGCTGCATGCTTTGGCTATGGAGCTTTCATCGTTCTTCTGAACGACATCAACAGCAAAAACTTCAGGTAGAAGTGAATTGTTCGAATTTCTCCACATATAGCTCACAGCTTGTCTTGTAGACCTCGATGTTGATTGGTTCTTGTTGACTTTAAATCTTAGAGAACAAAACTCCATCAAAGTTTCCACCTGAGCTACAAATCTTCACCATTTCATGACTACTAAGTGTTTGTTCATTTTCGATTACCTTAAAACAATTATAGTTAGAAAAATGTATTATACCAATATCTTCCAAGTCTCAACTCATCTCATGCATTCGAAATTATATGATTACTCTGTTACTAGACAACAACCAGATCCATTTACATTAATCTTTAAATATATTAGAAATGTAACAGTTATACCAGTTATAAGTGATATGTTTTACTACAAATAATTTAAATACAGTAAACTTTATAAGGGAACAACTGAATTATTTACAGCAGTTATATGGCTCAGCTTCTTCATTCTACTAACGAATAATAATTTTTCTCAACAAAATTTCAACGCTATTTTCATCTATATGTGACGTCAGGAAAAATAAAATTACACAACATGGATCACTGAATTGCAATCGTTTAAAACTTCCTATCAGCTTACATTTCAATCCTCCAACACAGAAGATGAAAATCAGCAACTAAATTTTTATAATGACTACAATACCACTAAGTTGGAAAACGGTAATTTACACACTGATAGATGGCATTATTGTGTGGTGTACATTTATTGTTAAGTGTGTTAGACTGAAATTTGACCACTACTTTATATACATGAAGTTTAAATTCATAAGAGAGAAAAATTGTAGTCTAGTGGTACACGAAGTGAAGGTTGTCTTTTTAAATTTTGTCGTAAAACGAGAATAAGTACAAACCTAACTTCGGGTAATGCGACAAACAGACAACTGTATTTTCTTCAATTCAGTATAATTCCAAATAGTTAATCTAATTACGATGTAGGATAACTTCTTTCAATTACTTATAACTGAAGTTTAGGAACATAGATCTTTCTAGTAAATGATAATCTATGGGATAAAACAAAGTATTTGATTTTATTGATGTAACCATACATCACTGTATGGTGGTCGGTATTCAATATAATCCCTAAACTTTGTATACAGTTCGTCTTGATAACCGTCACTAGATAACGCCCCAACAGTATATTAATCAGGTGAATACGAAGTGTTGATTATGTTTATTATGGGACCAAAAACACAGATATCCAAAATTACAGATGCGTTAAACAAGCGTAGAAGAGTTGTGCCGAAAGGCAAGCAAGCGAGCGAGAGAGTCAGTGAATATGAATACGAGTAAGCGAGTACAATTAAGCGAGCGAGAGCAATGAACATGAATAAATTGGACATATATATACAGTGAAATGAATGAATCATCAAATTAATAAAGCTGTTAGTAGTAAGGATACCAGCGTGAATAAATGCGTAGGCAGTAAGCAATGCTCAAACATACATTTTCATACACTCGTAATGGTAATAAAGATACAATTATATAGATAACTTGTTGTTGTGCGGATGACTCAGTTTGTTAATAAGTTAACAAAATGACTTAACCGAATTAAATGTGAACAAACTCAATCGCACGTGAGTTGCTATAACTGTTTGCTTGGGTAATGGTAATGGGATAAGATTACGTTAGTCAACCAGACCTATATTAATTATCAACCAGTCTGGTTTTACTAAAGTAACATGTAGTTAAACTCAACTAAGTTATTAGATTATTTCGGTACTTGAAAATTACTATAGTATAAATCGATGAAGGAATTTAACAGATATATTTAAAACTATCAATCCCTTTGATAATGCAAGACGAAGATTATGAGAACTACATAATATTAGCATAATACATTTCGAACAAGCAGATCACACAAATGAATCTTAAGAATTTCATGCAATTGGTTCCCTTTATCGACAAGCCCTCTTTCCTTAGTAGCTCCAACTGCATCTACCAATTCACATGTACGTGCAAAAGCACATACATTGGAAGAACTGAGAGAAGAGTGCATGTCCGCATTTCTGAGCATGTTCCCAAAAACTTGAGGCTGCGAGGGAATCAGGCCTTCAACAGCGCAATAGCTCGTCATCTACTTGACACGGGACACACCATCGAGATTCCACACGCTTTCAAAATTATTAATAGACAAAGAAGTACGACCACCCTCCGTTTTGCTGAAGCCATCATGATCAAAAAACTCAAACCTGACTTATGCATCCAAAAAGAGACTTTAATTAACTTATCACTACCCTGGTAACCCCTTTTTATTTTATTATTTATTTATTTATACTCCTCCCCTATTACATAATTCTTAAACCACATTATCATTCACACATTTCCGCCACTTGATCCTCTTAAATTATCTTAACTTTTCAAATTCTATTTTATTACTATTATGTAACCTATCTTATAATTATTCAATTCCATTATTACACCACCCAACCCGAATTAATTCCTTTTGACCTCTGACCTGTTCTAGCATATATATATATATTTACAATTATTATTGTAACCCAGTTATTTACACTCATCTATGTCAATTGTTTTCACTATATCTCAATGTAAAAATTCTATCACAATTTTGGTTTGTAAGCAGCTGACGAGAAACCTCGAAATAATATGAATTCATACTATTCTGCACCATTATTTGTTCTTGCTTTATTTGAATCTTAAGAACATAAATGAATTATAAAAGGTCAACTAAACAAATTGGAAGCTACGACGAAACAAAAACAATAAAGGAAGCAATGTGAAACATCACTGTAAATAATGAGTTAATATTACTAGGGTAGGTTTAGGGTGAGAAAAAAATTTCCGAATACAGAGAGGGGCTTTGAGTTTTCATACGGTCAGGGCTCGAATTAATCTTAGTATATGCCCTAGATACTTTTGTCCAAAACCACAAATGTCAAGTTAAGATCAATCCTGTGACCTATTTTGGCGGACAAAACAGAATGAAAATTTTTAAAGATGGAATGAGTTTTTTGTTTAAAAAAATACAAAAATAATTTCAGTGTAAATGAAATTCACCTGTCTCAACTATGTGTTTAGCAATGGAAGAAAATAGATGTTTATCATCTGCCCTTATTGGGTCACTGGATTTGGTATATTTCTACAGCCACTTTAATATGTTCTGAGACCTCAACTTGTAAATCACTATATCTATTTGGCTACAAATATTTAAATTGATAGTCAGTCAGTCAGTCATCAACAACGTAGAACTTCATACATACGTACATCAGTTCGAGTTGCCATACCACATTAGCGCAGAGATACAACTGTCAATTCGAATTCAATTTAAATTGATAAACGCAATAGGATATGATACATTTGTTTACATATCATTTAGGATTTGGAAGCATAGACCTTGTTTATTCAATGATAATGACATTTACTGCGTAGTACGTCTTAATGATAACTAATTTGAGCCTTTGTTTCAATACAAAACTGTTTGACTCAGGACTGAATGATAGGGTGGTGTAGACAGGATTTTTTTAGTTCAAAAAATGTAGTAGATCACACCGGACTATAACTTTACCATCGATTTATTGGGTTTTAGAAGATAATCATTATTCATCAGCTTCACCTTAATTTCCTGAACATCACTTGTTAGGCTTCTAAAAAAAACGTTTTCCTTTATTTCATATGCAACTACAGTTGATTGAATATCACAGTTTGTCTTCATAGTAATTTATAAAACCATATTTACTGTAAGGTTTATGAATTCATGCATCACTATTTCTCTAAATGTGTACAAGCTTCACTGATATATTATGTCTAATCGAAAAGTTCAATTGTTATTAAGTATCAATAGAGGGGTTGTGAAGTTTATTAAGTTCTTAATTGAGATCGTAGTATGTGTATTTACGATCATATATAATTAAAGATCAAAATAATCTGGATTGGTTCATTACATTGTTTAGCTATTCGATATGTCAAATGATAAAGAAAACTTTAAACGTATTAAGATTAACCACCTTTTTAAAATTAAAATAGCAATAAAGACACTACACAATTTCTATATTGTTCATTATG